GCTGCCAAAGTCTACTGCGCACACTACTGAAAAGTTGCGACTTTCCAGCTGGAGCTGCCAAAATGTACTTTGCGTACTACACTTGTACTGAAAAGTTGCGACTTTCCAGCTGGAGCTGGGAGCTGGCAGAGTGTACTTCACATACTACACTTGTACGGAAAAGTCACGACTTTCGAGCTAGAGCTGCCAAAACACTTCAAACCGATGCAGAGGAAAAACGATACTGACCGATACTAGGGCATGAGGATACAAGGGTTGTCCATGGGGTTGCTTTTTCAACCCAACTGGCTTTAATCACTTTCACTGCCAGTCAGTAGCTCGCGCCACAGTTGTGTTGTCTCAGGATGGCTCCCGACTTCTTAGGGGCGCTTTTGCAGAGCAGAGCATTCGCTGACCTTGGAAACTGCATGACGTCACCCTGCGCAAGGGTCCTTGTAGTTTGTTGTCCAATGACAAGTCAACTGCGGTGTGAGAGCACGGGGCTGACCAGGGCTTGTTCCATGGCAAGTGGCCCCGCCGCCAGAATCGGAACAGCGTCCTTGGCAAGCGCGACAAGCTGCGATTGGGCCAGGCAGGAATGTGGCTCTATGGCCAAATTGCCAGTCCTTCGATGTTTCTTGGGTTGACAAGGCTTGGATTATTGAGCAAGAATGCTTGCAGCAACTGCGGTCGACTGGCCGGATTCAATGATTTTGCCCTCCAGGCCCCCATAATCCCCTACAGTTGAGACAGAGGCCGTCCCGAAACTGAAGACTTGGACATATCTTGAGCTGCGGTTTCATCTCCCAGGATGGCATGGACGATCGATTCGTGGGCAGCAAGTCCTAGACTTGGAGCTGCTTGAAGCCCAGAAATGTCCTTTTCAGCTGATGGCAGCCACTCATCAGGGGCTAACTCATCAGAAGGGCGGCATGTCTGTGGTTGACAGCAGCCTACAGCAAAAAGGATTAAGCAGGGTTCATCCCCTCTCTCATTCCCTACTTACCCCCATCCAACTGGTGGTTTCCTTCATTCCCTCTCTCATTCCCTACTTACACCCATCCAACTGGTGGTTTCCTTTGAGGGAATCCGCGGGTTCATTCCCTGTCTCATGTCCTACTTACACCCATCCAACTGGTGGTTTCCTTTGAGGGAATCCCCGGGTTCATTCCCTCTCTCATTCCCTACTTACACCCATCCAACTGGTGGTTTCCTTTGAGGGAATCCCTAGGTTCATTCCATTTCTCATTCCCTACTTACACCCATCCAACTGGTGGTTTCCTTTGAGGGAATCCCCGGGTTCATTCCCTTTCTCATTCCCTACTTACACCCATCGGGAAGCCCCCGGTTCATTCCCTCTCTCATTCCCTACTAACTCCCATCCAACTGGTGGTTTTCTTTGAGGGAATCCCCGGGTTCATTCCCTCTCTCTTTCCCTACTTACACCCATCCAACTGGTGGTTTCCTTTGAGGGAATCCCCGGGTTCATTCCCTCTCTCATTCCCTACTAACTCCCATCCAACTGGTGGTTTTCTTTGAGGGAATCCCCGGGTTCATTCCCTCTCTCATTCCCTACTTACACCCATCCAACTGGTGGTTTTCTTTGAGGGAATCCCCGGGTTCATTCCTTCTCTCATTCCCTACTTACACCCATCCAACTGGTGGTTTCGTTTAGGGAATCCCCGGGTTCATTCCCTCTTTCATGCCCTACTTACACCCATCCAACTGGTGGTTTCCTTTGAGGGAATCCCCGGGTTCATTCCCTCTCTCATTACCTACTAATTCCCATCCAACTGGTGGTTTTCTTTGAGGGAATCCCCGGGTTCATTCCCTCTCTCATCCCCTCATTCCCTCTATCATTACCTACTAACTCCCATCCAACTGGTGGTTTTCTTTGAGGGAATCCCCGGGTTCATTCCCTCTCTCTTTCCCTACTTACACCCATCCAACTGGTGGTTTCCTTTGAGGGAATCCCCGGGTTCATTCCCTCTCTCATTCCCTACTAACTCCCATCCAACTGGTGGTTTTCTTTGAGGGAATCCCCGGGTTCATTCCCTCTCTCATTCCCTACTTACACCCATCCAACTGGTGGTTTTCTTTGAGGGAATCCCCGGGTTCATTCCTCTCTCATTCCCTACTTACACCCATCCAACTGGTGGTTTCTTTGAGGGAATCCCCGGGTTCCCTCTCATTCCCTACTTCTGGTGGTTTCCTTTGTTCATTACACCCATCCAACTGGTGGTTTCCTTTGAGGGAATCCCCGGGTTCATTCCCTCTCTCATTCCCTACTTACACCCATCCAACTGGTGGTTTCCTTTGAGGGAATCCCCGGGTTCATTCCCTCTCTCATTCCCTACTTACACCCATCCCCGGGTTCATTCCCTCTCTCATTCCCTACTAACTCCCATCCAACTGGTGGTTTTCTTTGAGGGAATCCCGGTTCATTCCCTCTCTCATTCCCTACTTACACCCATCCAACTGGTGGTTTCCTTTGAGGGAATCCCCAGGTTCATTCCCTCTCTCATTCCCTACTTACACCCATCCAACTGGTGGTTTCCTTTGAGGGAATCCCCGGGTTCATTCCCTCTCTCATTCCCTGCTTACACCCATCCAACTGGTGGTTTCCTTTGAGGGAATCCCCGGGTTCATTCCCTCTCTCATTCCCTACTTACGCCCATCCAACTGGTGGTTTGCTTTGAGGGCATCCCCGGGTTCATTCCCTCTCTCATCCCCTACTTACACCCATCCAACTAGTGGTTTCCTTTGAGGGAATCCCCGGGTTCTTTCCTTTGGGGTTCATTCCCTCTCTCATTCCCTACTTACACCCATCCAACTGGTGGTTTCCTTTGAGGGAATCCCCGGGTTCATTCCCTATCTCATTCCCTACTTACACCCATCCAACTGGTGGTTTCCTTTGAGGGAATCCCCGGGTTCATTCCCTCTCTCATGCCCTACTTACACCCATCCAACTGGTGGTTTCCTTTGAGGGAATCCCCGCGTTCATTCCCTCTCTCATTCCCTACTTACAGCCATCCAACTCGTGGTTTGCTTTGAGGGAATCCCCGGGTTCATTCCCTCTCTCATTCCCTACTTACACCCATCCAACTGGCGGTTTCCTTTGAGGGAATCCCCGAGTTCATTCCCTCTCTCATTTCCTACTTACACCCATGCAACTGGTGGTTTCCTTTGAGGGAATCCCCGGGTTCATTCCCTCTCTCATTCCCTACTTACACCCATCCAACTGGTGGTTTCGTTTAGGGAATCCCCGGGTTCATTCCCTCTCTCATTCTCTACTTACACTCATCCAACTCGTGGTTTCCTTTGAGGGAATCCCCGAGTTCATTCCCTCTCTCATTCCCTACTTACACCCATCCAACTGGTGGTTTCCTTTGAGGGAAACCCGGGTTCCTTCCCTCTCTCATTCCCTACTTACACCCATCCAACTGGTGGTTTCCTTTGAGGGCATCCCCGGGTTCATTCCCTCTCTCATTCCCTACTTACACCCATCCAACTGGTGGTTTCCTTTGAGGGAATCCCCGGGTTCATTCCCTCTCTCATTCCCTACTTACACCCATCGAACTGGTGGTTTTCTTTGAGGGAAACCCCGGGTTCATTCCGTGGTGGTTTCCTTTGAGGGAATCCCCGGGTTCATTCCCTCTCTCATTCCCTACTTATCGCACCAAGTAACAGAAAAATCTCTCCGACTCAGCGCTTGGCCCGGGCCTTCCACGCGGCCTCAGGCGGGCGGCGCCGCCGCGAGGCTTGGCCAAAACGGCGGCGCGACCAGCGCATGGCGCGCCCCAGGCGGCTGAGAAGCCGCTCTTCATCATGTTCCAGTTGGAATTACCCTCCCACCAACTAACCTGGAAGTGTAAAAAGGCCCTTGCCAAGTGGAAAGTAGTCTTTCTACAGGGGTCTGTGGACTTCCATGTTAGCTGGTAAGAGGGTAGTGGTTGTGTTGAGGTTTGAGTCATATTCGCAAAGTAGTCACCTTGAAGAGGCAGTCCAGCAAAAGAGCTCGGGCGTTGCGAGAGTGGGCCATTTCCAGGTCTCAAGGCAACTCTCAAGAGCCGTGAATGTTCTTCAGGTGCCCAGCTCCCCTAGCACCAAGTTCAAGACTTAGCTGCAGTGTGTCGATCTGGAGAATCTTGAGAAATCCCAAGAACTGATCATTCCAGCTCCCGCCAAAGATGACAGCCTAAACCGAACAAGGAGTCAGACAGCAACTGGAAATGGAGTGGGCACGAGAAAAGTGCTAGGTAAGAAAAACAGAGAGGCGGAAGAGCAGAGAGCAAGCCAAATGGAAATGGCCTGGGAAGAACAGGCTGAAGGAAACACAGGCTGGCAAGAAAAGAACGGAGGAACACGAAAGATCTGAATCTATTGCTTGAATTTGTGGCAAGGTGGGTGCCAGCGTGACTGAAAAATCCTGCGTAGCAACTTTTCTCCGACAGGAGCAGGAATTTTGCGCGGGTGATGATTTTCCTTCATGTTTATGTTTGTGGCCTAGCATTCTGGTTTTGCGGGTTTGCCCAACCAGTTTCACAGCTATGAACGCGGCCGACGGGCTGACAGGCGCCTGGATGCAGCTAGAGCCATCCCTGCCGCTGGTGAGGGCATACCTCTCGGACGTCGCTGGAGGCTGTTGGTAGCTGGGAAATATAATTCCTAGGGAATGTTGCAAGTGTCCACGTAAGGTGTTGGAAACAAAGAGCGCGCCAAACTGTCCTTTTTCTTGAGGCATCGTCCACCGCACCAACCAAATTGTGCAAAGTGATAAACGATGTCAACCATAGACTTTGGAATGCTCCAGGCACCAAATGGGGAGTTCTGTCTTTTGTAGCATGCTTTGATTGCACGAAATACAGCTTTGCGGCTTTTTTGCAGACAGGCAGTGCGCAATTGTTTCGAAGGGTCTTACACTTCCTGGGGTTGAGAATGTTCATGCCTTGCCAGTCTTCCTGTCCGGTTGGCAGATTGACGGAAGCAAGCTGAGTCTCACTTTCGCCGCGCTGCCGTTCAGCTCATTTGCAGGACTAGACTCTATGCGTGGATTAGCCTAAAAGAGCAATTGATTGCCCGCAAAAATGTCCACGGGAAAGCAGGAGGGCATCACTCGCAAAGTCTTCCAGAAGGATTTCCCCACACTTCACGCCTTTTTCAAGGAGACTGCAACCATGTCGAAGAATGACTTGAAGGAGCGGGATCTACTGATGGAGTTCTGGGGTGAAGATGTGGAGGGGAACGGGCGGAGGAGAGTAGAATGGTCACGCAAGCCCATCCCTCGATATGTGGCAACCCTTGCCATTTTGAGCTCAGCGGCTCGCACATCTAAAACTAGCAGTAAGCTGTGCATGAAATTCAACGGTGACAAGGGTTGCCAAGTTGAGACTTGCGCGTACCTGCACAAGTGCCTCTACTGCCGCCAGAATTTCCGAGCAGACCACTCGCAGTGCCCAATGAGAAAGAAGCTCCTGGCAGAGCAGACAAACTTCAAGGACCGCTTTCGCCAAGATCCTTTAGATGCAGCATTGCCAGGGCTGGGCCAAGATGATGAGTCGCTTGAGCACACTCTCAGGAGGCTTGCGTTGGATCCTCCTGGCAAGAAGGCCAGCTCGGAGACCGCCAGCGCTGCGAGCGCTTCCTTGACCAGCGGTTTTGCAGCGTTGGCCTCTGAAGATGAGGTCTGTGACGGCTCTGAGGCGGACGCCGAGCCTCAAGGTTCTCAAGCAGACCTGGTCAGTGACAACGCTTCAGAGCGATTCGCGGACGCGGAGCCACAGGTCATGCACATGGCCATTGTGACGAACCGATGCAACACGGAGAAGCCCACCGAGCCACAGATTCCGCAAGTACTCATGCCAGCGAAGCAAGAACTTGAAGCTTCCTGCATGGCTGCGCCAGATGCAGGCGCCGCACGCCCTGCTAAAGCTTCAACGGAAAATCTGCCAATGCTGGAACCCGAAGAGCTACAGACAGACCCTGCAAGGAAGCACGCGCAGAGCCCACCACTTCTTGCAAATGCTTCAGCAGGCAAGTATGTGTTAGGTTTTGCGTGCCACATGGACGCTGACATGGCAGCTTGTCAAGGCAATTTGGTGAAGTCGGACGAGAAGAAGGCTCCCCTCTCGATTGTTGCATCGCAAGAGCTTGGCATAGATGTTGACAGTCTGAGGATTGTGTATTCCAAAAGTTCGGAAGTGGCCGTGGTGTTTGCATCGTTTGGGGAGCCTGTCAACAAGTTTGCGACCCAATTCCTCCACGCCCTCAACCCACAAATGCGTCAGTGGGTTGTGCATGGCAAGGCCTTGTTCCTTGCTTCCAGAAATGGAACTGAATCGGCAAAATTCATGCCAACTTGGCCAATCTTCGAGGAGGAGATCCAGAAGGACTGCGAGAGGTTTGAACAGTGGTTTGACCACCTGCCTAAGGAGAAGAAGCGCAGGTTTGACCAGGCCCAAGGGCCAGGGGCCATGCTTTTCGTTCCTGTTGATGAAGACAAGCCCATGGAGTGGGTCTATGAAGACATCAGTGGTTACGAACAGATCGCCAGGAAAGCGCGAAGAGTCTTTGAGTCCAAAGACTCTTGCCTTCGAAGCCTGTCCTTCTGCGCGGATGATTCCGATGACGAGCCCAACAAGCCTGCTACTTTGCGCGAGTGCTTTGCAAAGGAGAAGCTGGACTTCTCCTTTGCTCCCCGCCAACACAAGATTGTGGCCATCGCATGCAAGCCTCAGATCACAATGCCGGACAAGAGGGCACGAATGAATGTGAAAGCCGCATGCATCGTGGCCAAGCTGTACGGCCTTTCCTTCCTGAAGAAGGGCACTTCATCGTACTTGAAGTCCTTGAAAGGAGACGTCATTCTTTGCATGGTGGGTCCAGGTCCTCATAGGCAACTGAGGCCAGAAACATCTTGGGTGACTCAAGACTGCGAAGTCTTGGAATCAGAGTTCTTCGACTTCTTAGAGGCTCTTAAGAAGGATGGTGCGGACGATATTGCAGATGACGTCAGGCCGCTGGTGAGGTTGGAGGAGCTGAAGACATGGAGCAAGGCTTGGTTGGACTACGGCCAGAAGTACATCAAAAGCTTGCAGGACCTCGAGGAGATGGCCCAGCCAGAGGATTGGATGCTGCGCCTGGATGAGGGAGAGGACAACTTTGAATCTGGACTGCCCTACTTGGAGAGCTACTTGCAGTACAAGTTCGCCTTCTCCTTGCACATGAGCCGGGATGGCCAGGAGAACGGGATTATCTTAGTGTCCAACAACCAGACTCTCATCTTTGCCACAGGCTTGCTCAGTCGCAGAGACCTCCAGCCGATCTTGGCAGTATACCATTGCCGTGAGGCGCGAGAAGACAAGGATGCATGGAAGGCCCCCAAGCTCGACTCGCGCTACAAGTTTGCGGAGTGGACTGTGTCTCCCGCGCAAACCTCTCGGCAAGTTGAGCCCCTTGACTTGTTGTCGGACGCATGCATGCAGCCTGGGGCAGAGAGGAATCTCTTGCAGCTGCATGAGCTGAAGAGTTTCGATCCTCGTGCCCATGTGGATGTGCAAGAAGCCTGCTTGCAACATATCCTCCGCAAGCGTGACCGCTTTGAGGCAGACAACTTGTATCAAGGCTTCAAAGACCCGCAAGGCTGGGATTTGGTCAACCCAGACCGCCTGAAGAAGCAGGTGAAGCAGCAACTAGACAAAGTCCGGGCCTGGTGCCGCACAGACCGCAGCATCCCTGTGATGACCGTCTTTGCGGACTTCACCTATCAATGGCTAGTGCCGCTGCCTAACCCATCCCAAGAAGATGGTAAGCTGTCCGAGAACCCGACTTTGGTGGCGGTCTTGCAGCCCATCAGGAAGGATGAGAAGGACGCCCCGTGCTACGTGCTGAGGACCCGGGCCAGATGTTTGTTTTGTGACAAGGGCGGGCATCAAGTGTTTGTTTGTCGAAACGAGATGCTGAGACCCCTCCTTTACCCGGCTGCCTTTGGCAAGGTATGCATGCTATCAATCCAGCAGTTGTCTAATTGCTACTAAGTTACTAAGCGCTGCAACTCGCTTCCTGGTCCTGATCCTGAAGCTGCTCAAAGCTAACACGCGGCGCAAAGACGTAGCCGAACCTGAATGTTTGACTGAAACATGAGCGAGCTGGCATATGAGAGTTGTCTGAAAGGTCCTTGTATTGAGCCATGAAGGGGAAGACCTTTTGGTCTCAGCGTTGACCTCAGCGAAAGTTCCGTGAAGGGGTTCGCAAAAGGTACTTTTTGTGTAAGCGTAGCTTGCTAACAGGAAGCTGGAATGATGAACCATGTGTATTTGCCAGCAGTGCGCGCAGAATGCACGTAGAGTAAAGTTGGTCGGGGAAAGCGCGGCCTGATTACACCGCTGCAGCAGAAACGTCGAGTGCAACTTTCCAGCCGGAATTTCGCTCATGTTTGGCGTAAGATCCGCGAAAGTTTCGCGAACGTCGGCGGACCTCTTCGGCAGTTTCCGGACATGGGTGGTCAACGGGCCCCTTCGCGTGCTACTTTGGGACTGAAAGGTTGCGACTTTCGAGCTGGGGCTGCGGAAGTTTACTTCGTGTGCTAGCTTCGTATTGAAAAGTTGCGACTTTCGAGCCGGGGCTGCAGAAGTTTACTTTGTGTACTACTTTTGTCTTGAAGAAAGTGTTGACGTTTGAGCCGGGCCTGTGGAAGTTTAGTTCGCGTACTACTTTCGTATTAAAAGTTGCGACCGGAGCACCTTGATGTCAGACAGCCCACCCCGCCGTGCAATGTGCCAGTGGTGGCGTGCTGACCCTGGCCTCAGCACCTGCCGGTGCTGCCGCGCATTGCGCGGACTTAGGAGTGTGGCGCAAAACCCACTCCTAGCAGGTCTGGCGAAGCTCTGGGCTCGGTTGCAGGTTGGGAGGGAGTTGCGGCCAATTCCCTTCTGCGCAGCAGGTCTGCTGGGCAGGGGCCATTGCTGCCAACGCCCTTTCACCTCCTGACTCCTAACTCAAAGCCAACTTTGATAGAGTCCAGGACCGCTTAGGCCCAGGGCGCAGAGCAGCCGAAAAACAAAGAGAGAGAGAGAGAGAGAGAAAAAAACAAAATGGCCGTCCTTGAGGCCCAAGCCCCCGCTACGGCCACCGCTGAGAACAAGAGTCAAAGAGGAGGCGCGTGTGGCGGAGGAGCGATCAGGAAAGGGAAGCTTTGTGGAGTTCTCGGACGAAAGCGCCAACTCCACAGACCGTCAGGCGCCGAATCCTGGGGGCCCAAAAAACGAGTAGAATTAGACTAGACCAAAGGCCGAAAGTGGCACACGCCAGAAGCGAGTGAAAGGGAAAAGGGGCACTATTGAGTTGCCCAACGCTTGAGAGGCTGCCAGCTGCTCTCCTCCTGCTTTACGTGGTAGGAGGCGGCCAGCGCCTGCTCCTCCTAGAATAAGAAGGCCCGCAGCACGCAGGCGAGTGGCGGAAGACAAAGACGCAGCGCAAGTCCGTGGTCACATGACAAGGGCGAAATTACCATCGGGAACTGTATCCACGCGACTGGAGGCCAGCAAGATGATTGCGAGGGTAGACGGGTATGTCTCAGACACAGCGGGCCTGTGGCTGAAGCTCAGCCTTTGTTGCGCCTCGTGCGAGGGCTTGAGCTTTGTTCTGACGCGCGCAGAAGACCAGGGCCACGCGATCTTCATGAGCCACACTGCAGCCGACCTTTGGGCTGGATTTGCAAGGGTTGCAGAGATGACTGGATTTCGATTTGTACTATCCTGTTTCACTTGCTTGCCTGAAAAGACACTGGTATGCGCTCCGTACTTTTTGTACTACCTTCGTATTGAAAAGTTGCGACTCTTGAGCTGGGGCTGCGGAAGTGTACTTTGCGCACTACTTTTGTGATGAATGTTCTGAAAACAGCCCCGCGAAAGTTCCGCGATGGGGTTCGCAGATTTTTGTCTTTGTCGCGAAGGTGGCGGTTTCCTGAACAAGGAATTTCTGACAACCGTCTAACATGAACAAGCTTCGGTGCAGCGACACGCTGGCACCTTGACCCTTGAGGACGACGCTCACTTTGGACATGGCGTTGATGCAGGCCCGTGTGTGTGGCAAGCTTCATCAGAGGTGGACCGTGAGTCGCCGACAAGCAGAGGAGCTCCAGAGAGTGGTGAATGCAGTGAGGAGCATCCCGCAGAGTGACCCAGAAGTAAAACGGGCAGTGGTCAACGCAATCGAGCGCCTGCGAAAGTGCTTTGGTTGCAATGACTTGGCGCGTGTTCAACACGCTTGGCAGAGGCAACAACAAGCGAACACGGGAAGTAGGAGGTCCAACCAAGACTTTGGCAGAAGCCAAGGTACAAGGAGTGCATCCTCCGCTTCCTGCCCTCTGTTGCCACCACCGAGGATTGCGAGGCCTCCAAATACCCCGGCGCCAGCGGCTGGCTTCCGCCTGCGCAACGCAAGGGCAAGGCGCGCAGCGATCCCAGCGCAGGCTCGGCTGCAGCTTCTGACCAGGAGGACTGCCAAGCGCTGCTTATGTTGCAAACTTGAGCAAGACTTGGCAAGAGCCGAATGTTTTGCAACATAAGCAGCTGTTGGATAACAACAGTTTGGGCACGACTTGCAAAACATGGCAAAACATATTGTCCTGAAAAGGTCCGTAGGAGTTTGAATGTGTCAATGATTGAAGGATGAGGTGGACAAATTCCAGCAGCTTGGGGACATTCGTCGAGGGTACGAGCAACAAACAGGTGTTGGTGGACAAGATGCTGACCCCTGGACTGATGGCCAAGACCCATGGACCTTGTCCATTGCTGACAAGGGCTCAGCATGAGGCAATTTACTTGGTGTATAGTCTCATGTACTGGGCCGGTGCAATTGGCCGGATTTTGCGCAAGTCGCTGCTCTGTAGGCAGGTTGCTGATGGAAATCAATTCTCCACTTGCCAAGACAATAGATTGAATCAAAAGATTCGTTGTTTGTCCGGCTCGCGCTGTCCACACTGCCATTTTCTTGAGCTGCCAAGAACTGACGCGAGGCCGGCAAGGGAAAAACCTGAGGATCTGCCTGACTTGCCCTTTGTCGAGGACCGTGCCGAAACATGTGTACGTCAGTGTCAGAAGCTTCTGCAGAACCTCCTGTGGCACAGGTGTGCGCGTGCGTGTTTGCAGGAGAAAAACACTTGTTTGACAGCCTGGGCATAGAAGGTGGTAAAGGTGGCATGCGTGTGTGTGCCGTTTGTAATGGGGGGGTGGCTGCGTCAGGAGACGAAGATACCGAAGCTTTGCATAGACACAAGGTGACTGGCACCAGTCATTGCCACACTTCGTGCATGGCGCGGAAGATCGGCCAACGAGTCAAACCTCAATGCAGCGTGCTGCATCAAGCCGATGACAAAGCTGAGCGGAGCTCGACAGGTTGGCCCCACCCCGGAGACCTTCCTCAGGCCAAAAGGGCCGAGCTGTGGCAGCTCCGACTTTTTGTCAATACCGCTTCTTTTAAAATGAAGTCAGCTGAAACGGCTGGGGCATACTGACTGCCTGCATTGGCGCTTGCCAGCTTCAGGCATGCCTTTTGCCGCAGATTGAGATGTCTGGAAGGAGTCTGCAACTCATACCAAAAGAAATCCTGCGACTTGTACTGGTATCAAACCTGCTGCAGACTGCAGCAGAGATCAGCACATGTTGCCTGTTCGCACCGATACAGACAGAGACCTCAGTCAGGCTCACTGCCAATCAGATCCCAACTTTGATCCTTGCTTAGTCAGCCCCCAAAACGGCAGAAGCTGAGCTGAAATAGTCCGGAATGCCGACCACTTGGAAGCCGAAACATGTTCTTTCAACTATACAAAGACGTGGGGCAGAGTTTTCTCCCGGAAGCGCCCAGCGGCCATGGCTCCTCGGCGGCTCCTGCGGCTGATCCTCGCCCTGGGCGCGTCTTGCGCCTTCCTGGCGCCGTCAAGAGCTGCCCGCACGGCGCTGCGGGCCACAAGGGAGAGCGCGCCTCCGGCGGGAAGTGGGGAAAGGCGAAATGCAGAGGTATATTGTACATGTACTAACATATTATTCTGCATACATATTATATATGCGGCATCCCCATGTCATGCAGGGCTGAATTGTGCAAGTGTCCAAAGTGCTGGGAGGCTGGTGAGGGATGTGAGCGAAGGTGGTGAGAGAGGGCTGGTTAGGAAGGGAAGGCATCAGGCATCAGGCCAAAATATGCCGACTCGCAAAGTCGTTCTCAAAGCTGGCTGGCCCGGACCCAAAATGTAAGATTCGAGGAATATACAACAGGTGAACAGAAGTTGGAAGTAACGTGGCACCACACTGTCGCAGCAGTCCGTGGTTGTGTAGAGGATTGTGAGAGTTGCCTGGGGGGGGGGGTTCAGCGTCCATCCCAGGCGCAGGCCACTTTCAGCGAGCTTTTTGCCGCAGATTCAAGACCCATCGTCCTGTATGACGGCGCCTCGCTTTGAGCGGCTTTTGCTGGGTTTCACGTGGGCCGCGTTTGTCAGGAATCACTGTAGACTGTTTGCTGTTTGACTCCCAGACCGGCCAGGTTTTGTCAGGCTTGATATTGGAGTAGTATAGCGTGTTTGGCAGACACAGTCTCACACACACACACATACACATTGCGCTGGGTGAGCAGATTCGCTTTGTATGTTGGAGGGTTCTGTTTTCAGAGCATTAAGAGCCGAAAGCATCAAAGGTCAGATGGAGCATTGGCTGGCGATCCTGGGAGCGTATTGATGTCCATGTTCAAACTGGTTGTGCGCGCTCGACTTTCCAGATCCTCTTACCGGCACAAACAAGTCATGAAAATTCCTATAGGTTCCGGTTTTAAGAACCTCTAGGGGGGGTACTTACAGAAGTTGACTAACCCATCACAACCGAGTTCACCTCCAGCTTCCAAAGGTGTGTGCAACATGTGCAACAGCGCCGTGGATGTCGCTTTGCAGAAGGACGGCCCTCTTGCGGGCGCAGATGAAACTAAAACCATTCCAGTCATGTCATCCTGGCAACATGTCCCTTCCTTTCTCCCCTCCCCCCCACAAGTCCAACCACAAAAAACCTGCAACAACCCTGGGGGGGGGGGGCTGGGGGGCTTTTGTTCCCCCCCGAGTCGGCTCCCCCCAAGTCTCCGACAGTCCTCCAGGACCCCTCGGGCCGGAAGCTGCGCTTCGCGGCGCTGCAGTCGGAGCTGGGCCAAGCGCTCCTCGTCTTCTGCGGCCGCGAGGCCAAGGACCGAGCGACCCCGAGGGACCCAGCGAGGCCCAGGGGCCGGGGCTGAAGCTGGGTGTTGGTTTGCCGAGCGAAATGGGGGAAAGATGCCAAAAGGTCCGCAAAAGTCTCGGCGGGGTTCGGAAAAGCACGGAGATTGCGGGGGAAAAACGCGGTGAAAGTAACGATTGGTGGGAAAAGAATCTGGAATCAACATGAAAAGGCGGAGCAATTTGGAAGCTTTGCCATGGGCAAATCCACGTGCTGGAATGGTCCAACAAGGTCCCTTTGGTTTCTGTCCGAGGCTGAACCGAGCACAGACTCACTTCGATGAACTTGAGTGGCATGGATTATGGTTTCCATGTTTGGCGGCTATTCAGAGATACCTTTAATGGTCCATGAGTTTACTGAAGCTGCAAGGCTTGCCACTTGTTGCTTCTCAGTACCTGTGTTCGATCGCATAAAGGACGCCACTATACCCCACAGGAGTACTGAGAGGGCTTAGTGAGTATGCTTGAATCCAGCTTTTGTTTCGAGTGTGTTTGTTTTTCTTTGGGGGGGGGAAGGGGGGGCAGCTTCAGCTGCACCTGTTCCTGGAACCAGGACTTGAGTTCAATGATGGTGGTCAAGCCGGATGGTGTTTGCCTTTCGCAGTCCGATGCCGTTGTGTATGCCGGGGACCTCAGTGATCCGAGTGGCCAGGGGAACTCACTGGTGCCGCCACTTTTCTGAATTTGGATACGGGGAACCCGTCAGGTTTGCGAGCAATCACCTCCGGCAGGGTGTAAAGTTTTTCAGCAGGTACAGAACAAAGCCGGCAGATTATGGGAAGCGACGCTTCGGAATCCGAACGCGGACAACATCAACTCCGCACCTGTCCATTTTGATGCATTCTCAAAGGAAGGTTCTTGTCGAGAGAGAACGTGCGGTCAATGGGCATGTCGGTGTCATTATAATGCACTGCTATGGAATACATAGGGTCAGTGGTAAAGCGTTATCAGAGATGGCTATGCATCACAACGTACACTTAGCGAGTGTGATGCGTGCCCCCAATCGCCATGGTTGAATCTTCCAGAGCCGAGTGCAAACCAGGTTGGTGCCCAGCTTGAGGGTAGTCGGGTCCTGCAGGGGCTGAGCAAGGCAGGGCCCTTCGGGGCAGATGGCAATTCGAGCGGAAGCATCGAGGCAGCAGGGCAAACATGCTGTTGGCCCAAGGAAACGGCCTGAGGAGGATAGCTGATCATGATCCAATGTTTGCAAGAGACTGGGCAAGTCCCCACAATGAAAAGGCCACAATCCACATGCATATGAAGCGCCCCATTTATATATCTACGAGTGGGGAGGTCCTTTCTTCCTGTGATCGGACTGCGGCATGTTACCCTGGCGTCTTCCTGCGGCGTGTTGCTTTTCAGTGCAGGGCATGGAGCAATGACTTTGGCTTCAAAGGCCGCGGAGAAGATCTTGCCCAAGCCATTTCGGGATGCAGCGTACAACGTGATTGCCAAGGCCGGGATCCGTCTGTCGCAGTTGGCTGTGGGTCAAAATGGGTACCCATGCAAAATGGAACCAAGGACTAAAACCTGCGGTCCTCTGGTGGTTAAATTTTGACCCATACCCAATTGGGCTGAAAAAACAACCCCGCGCCTTTTCGTTATGTAAGGAGCCGTCCCTCAACTTGTTTCGCAGGCCAAAACGTTTTGTAAACCGATACTGAGGAAAAAAACCAATACCCCCAGGAGCCATGAAGACACACATCAGGTCCAAGTTGTTGTCGCAAGCCAAGATCGCGGAATCATAAATTTGCAGGGCCCAAACCGATACCCAAGCCAATACCCATCCGATACCCAACTCATTGGCCGCCACGCCGAATCCAACCAGCTGCTCTGCAGCGTTCCCTGAAGCTGCCAAAATGTACTCTGTGTACTACATTAATGTGTACTGAAAAACTTACTTGCACTGAAAAGCTGCGACTTTCGAGCCGGAGCTGCCAAAGTCGACTGCGCATACTACTAAAAAGTTGCGACTTTCCAGCTGGAGCTGGGAGCTGGCAGAGTGTACTTCGCATACTACACTTGCACGGAAAAGTCACGACTTTCGAGCTAGAGCTGCCAAAACACTGCACGACGCAGAGGAAAAACGATACTGACCGATACTAGGGCATAAGGATACAAGGGTTGTCCACGGGTTGTTTTTTCAACCCAACTGGCTTTAACCACTTTCACTGCCAGTCAGTAGCTCGCGCCACAGTTGTGTTGTCTCAGGATGGTTCCCGACTTCTTAGGGGCGCTTTTGCAGAGCAGAGCATTCGCTGACCTTGGAAACTGCATGACGTCACCATGTGCAAGGGTGACAGTCAACTGCGGTGTGAAAGCGAGGGGCTGACCAGGGCTTGTTCCATGGCAAGTGGCCCCGCCGCGACAGAATCGGTACAGCGTCCTTGGCAAGCGCGACAAGCTGCGATTGGGCCAGGCAGGGATGTGGCTCTATGGCCAAATTGCTAGTCCTTCGATGTTTCTTGGGTTGACAAAGCTTGGATTATTGAGCAAGAACGCTTGCAGCAACTGATTTTGCCCTCCAGGCCCCCATAATCCCCACAGTTGAGACAGAGGCCGTCCCAAAACTGAAGACTTGGACATATCTTGAGCTGCGGTTTCATCTCCCAGGATGGCATGGACGATCGATTCGTGGGCAGCAAGTCCTAGACTTGGAGCTGCTTGAAGCCGCGGAAATGTCCTTTTCAGCTGATGGCAGCCACTCATCAGGGGCTAACTCATCAGAAGGGCGGCATGTCTGCACCTAAACCGCCGCATGTGGTTGACAGCAGCCTACAGCAAAAAGGATTGCGCAAAGGACCTGCATGACCGGGGCATGCACTGAGTGCATGCTCCTCACATTTTTCTGCGCTGGCTTATGCAGAGCGTCGCTTCGGGCACAACAGAGTCGCCCCACGCATGGAAAATGGATTCGGGGCCGAGTGCCACGTGCACTCCAGACCTCACTGGGAAGCACTGGAAGGTTGAATGCTTGTCGCCGGCCTTTTGGATTAAGAGTCGCATCATGAAATCATGTGAGAGGGACATGCGAGAGCCTCTCAGAAACCTACAGCACTCTTTGATCAAGACAGCAACTAGTAGTCGAGACATGATTTCTTCTTTCCATTTCAGACAAATGTGATGTGCTTGTCAATGTGCAAACTCCTTAGACAGACATCTACTTCAGAAGGATTCAGTGACAGCACTGCTCGTGTTGCCTTGCATATGCGTTGCAATGTCTCCAGCAGGCGTGGAAATCGAGCGACCACGATTGGTTGGATGCGCCGGCTACAGGGTCAAGCAAGCAAGTTCGATCGACGTTGGGCATTCTTTTTCAGAGGGCTGCCAGACATTCTAGTCTATATTACACATCTACACTTATAGGATGCTGCCAGCACGTGTGTATATATATATATGTATATATATATATATTTATATATATCATATTACATGTACACATACATGTAAGTGTTTGCAGAGACAGCGAGCGAGCGACGGAGAGAGAGGAGAGAGAGACATCAAGGACCAGGAGTCAAGGGCTGTGTTTGCTGATTGACCTCAGCCAGGAGACAAACCCTTGGGTGCAATCTTCCGTGGCGGCCGCAGTAGGAGCCGCCAGCAGCAGTTCTTGATGTGCAAGAAAGACACAAATCCCAACATGGGTGTGGGTCAATCATAGGTACCCAAAATGGGTTACCCTGGTAAATGGGAACATGCATATCCTGGTGCCGTAATTTTATGTAATGACCCATACCCACATGATACTGGTTCAAGCCAATGAAAGAGAGTGCTTTTGGATGACAGGAGTAGCAGCCCTGGAGTCGAGTCTCATGCAGATTTCGACCGCAGCCGCAGCGCTGACAGAGGCAGCTCTTTTCCTGCTTGCAAAATTGATCCTCGTTTGTGGATATGGCTGTGGGTCAAAACCAATGGTACCATTTTGGGGTAGGTGCACCACCCATTTTAGTCTATTTTAGTGGGGATTGGGATGTTCACTGGGGGTACGGGCTTTTGACCAATGGCCATATGAATAGAGCTATTGTAGAGTGCGCATGTGTTCATGCGAATGTGCGCAGGTGCCGGCGAGCAGGAGGCAGCACCAGCAAGAGATGCATCCCCGGATTTGAGACTGCCTGAAGAACGGGAACTCTTTCTATGGGTCTCAAAAGTATGGAGCTTAGAGGTAGTCTGTGTCTCTACTTTGAGACACGTTTTGTGTCGCAGGTCTTCGTTTCCGTCACTGGTGGCAGCTGCTGGCTTAGGGTGGCTCATAGGCCGTTTCTGTTTGCTCGGGCGCCGGGTTTGTTGCGTAGAAGTTTGGGTAGGGTGCTAGACAAAGATGGGGCCGACCAAGTAAGCTTTGGTTGAAGCTGATTCGGCAAAGGTTGTTTTCGACTTTGTCCAAGTAGGACATCTCTTGGACACCCACGCGCAAAGCAGCAGACTGTTTGAGGGATCATGCGGGAACATAAGGCTCTTAGCCGGAGGTTTTCGCAGTTCGATTGAGTCACTCCGCATAGGCCCCAGCACCGGCAGCCGAGCGGAGCCAGACAGCCGGCTGCAAGAGGGCGGGGGGTGGGCACGGTGCATATCTTGGGCCCGCGGAGACATCCACGGTATGATTCTTTCAGTGTTTGGGCCCCACATGGGCCGCAGTCAATATTCACCGTCATCTACCTGTACCAAATGGGAGGATAGGTACGCTCACCAGATTGCCACTAGATAGACAATGCGGATACTCATCATGGTTCAGTGCTTTTGAGCGACTGACTGACGATTGATCTTTCCTTGGGCACTTGTCATTTCCACGAGGGGTGGGTTGTGGAGAACAACCCTTGGTGTAGTCATGCTGGAACAGCCAGAATCCAAGCGGGTCATCAATTACTGACGGTTTGCTGACACAACCTCATGTGTGTTGAATTTCGATAGCAATCCTAATACCACTGCGAGAATTGGATCGACGTTTGAAGATCAATTAACTCTCACACCAAGGCCAAGATTACGGAAAGGCTTCGTCAAGCCACCACCTCAATCCACTTGCTGCATGCGTGAGTGGCACGTGACCGCAATTGATCAAAGAGTGAAGTGCTGCCGTGGAGGTGCTTGGCCCAGATGGTGGAAGCTTGCCGGCGCTGCCAGCTTGTTTTGCTTCAAAGCCAGGGTCGGGCAACATCAGTAAGTGGTTCCTGCTGTGAAGATTTGAAGTTTTGGGACTTGATGTCTCTGATCGCATGCATAAGAATTGTAACTTTAGCCATGCACACATTTTAGCAGCCAGAATAGGGCCACTCGTCAATGGCCTGGCAAGTGAAGGGAATCAATACCTTGCGCTATTGGATGACTGGCTAATCTAGGGGACAAACAGTGCAGCATGCGCCCACTTGGCGAGTACCATGCAACCGCTGAAAACTTGAGGTTCTGGTGGGCATAGTTTGTGCTCAGCTGGCCCAGCCATCATGCGCCCGCCAGACACTGCGTCCTCGGCCCAGTTGATGCTCGGACTTTGCGGATTCAATCGAACGTATCAGGAAGCCAGTCATTTGGAGTGCAGCTAATTTTGACACTTTCCAAAGCGTCGTTGACCGGAGGTGAGTGTGTGCCGCAACGTCCAAGCATTGAGCCGACATGTACGAGTGTAGAGCACTCAGGACCTTGCCATGTCATGCCCCGCCCCATGCTTTGTCGGGGTGGATGTGGGCACCGGAAGTGTTCGGGCTGGTGTGTTTGATCCAAAGGGTCTACTTCTCGGCAGCTCAGTCTGCGAGATTTCCGTCCACCAGCCTGCTCCCGGACATTTCGAGCAGAGCTCTGACGAAATTTGGGGTGCCTGCTGCACAACAGTCCATGAAGCCTCGAAGGCTGCAGGTGATGTGCGGATAGGTGGCATTGCCTTTGATGCCACCTGCTCTTTGGTTCTTCGGCGCGCCGGGCATTCCTCTTTGGACCTTGCGCCAGAGTCAGACACAGAGGCCACCAATGCAACGCATGACATAATAATGTGGTGTGACCATCGTGCCACTGAAGAGGCACGTGAAATCAACTCAAAGGGCCATCGGTTGCTGCAGTTTGTAGGTGGCAAGGTTTTTCCGGAGATGGAGATGCCCAAGCTGTGCTGGCTGAGAAAGTACAGGCCCCAAATCTATGCGGCTGCAACTCACTTCTATGACTTAACGGACTATCTTGCGCACAGAGCAGCAGACTTCCGCGATGGTGGAGGTAGCGGTGCTGGCATCCGAAGTCAGTGCACCGTGGTGTGCAAGTGGAATTTCGATGCGGCGAAGAGGGACTGGGCGCCGGATTTCTTCGAAGATGCGAAGGTCCCGGACCTGCGCCCTTCAAAGATCGGGACCTCTGTTGATGTGAAAGCGGTGGGGAGCGCTGTAGCCGGTGGCCTGGGTCCGCTAGCAGCATCTGATCTGGGACTACCTGAGGGCATCACTTTGGGTGTGGGTGCAATCGACGCACATGCGGGGGGACTTGGATGTTTGGCTGCGCCCTGCGAGTCATGGCCGCCTCTGGAGCAGTGCATGGCGTTGATCGCGGGCACTTCGGCATGTCACATGGCCTCCAGTGCTACGGAGCTGCTGGTGCCGGGCGTGTGGGGACCCTTCGACTCTGCCATGCTGCCCGGGCTCTTTCTGCACGAAGCCGGCCAGAGTGCGGCCGGAGCCGCGCTCGACTTTATTATGGAGACCCATCCTGCTTTCCCCGCCCTGCAGCTTGAAGCCAGCAAGGCCGGCCAGAAGCCGGCGGACTTCTTGACCACCAGGATACTCCAGCAAGCCAAGCAGAGAAACATGCCTCCGGCCTTCCTGAGCCGAGGAACCTTCATCAGTCCCGACTTCAATGGGAATCGGTCTCCCCTGGCAGATCCAGCGCTCAAGGGCAGCATTATCGGCCTGGGCCCAGCAGGGGATCACAAGCGGGCAACGTCTATCGATGCCTTGGCCATCCTGTACCTTGCTGCCTTGCAGGGGCTCGCTTATTCAACCAGATCCATCATAGAGACCATCAACGCCGCCCGGGCCCAAATCGGGTCTCCCGGAATCGCAGCTGTACATGTGTGCGGCGGCCTGGCGCAAAACACCTTGTACTTGCAGGAGCACGCGGATGCTTTGGGCCTGCCCTTGTGCTGCAGCGACAACCCCGGCGCAGACGTCCTCCGTGGCAGCGCCATGCTGGCCGCCGCAGCCTGCGGCGCCTTCCCTTCGGTGCAAGCCGCCATGCGCGGCATGGCGAAACCCGGGCGGATCTGGCGGCCCACGGAGGACGAGCAGCTGAGACGCTACCACGGCGCGCGCTATGAGGTCCTGGTGCACATGCAACGGCACCAGCAGGAGTATCAGGCCCTGGAGTCGCACAGCTTCAAGCGTCAAAAGAGCTCGCATGACTGATGTATTGTCGGGGCTGGCGGGTGGATGTCAAGCACCTTGCAAAGGGCGAGAGAAAGGACTAGAAATAGACCACCTGAGTTGACAGACACAATCAGTTCAAGGCGATCACAAGGTCATGTCATTTTGGACAAAGGCAACAATCAGCCTTTGAGTGAGCCCGTACTGGTATCTTGTGAGCATCCTGCCACCTTTGCAGCATGGAACGGGCAAGCAGGGCAAGCAGGGCTAGCAGCTCTCACTATTGCAACGGCTTGCAGCTGAAGGTGTGCGCTACTTGAAGCTTCCAGTCATGCATGATGGGCAGATGATTGGCACCGAAGGAATCAAAAGGCGACATGCTATTGTGTGCGATTGTGTGGATCTTGCTTCTGTCCCTTTTCTCCCTGGTTATGGGGAACTCGCCATGCTATCAGGGAAGGAGCTCAAAGATCACCTTGCAGCTCAGGATTTGGAGGACTGACGGACCAATATATCAGTTGGAGTGGTGAGAGGATCAGGCTACGTAGTTCTTCTCAGCTGAGTTGCGTGGAAGTCAGGAGTCCAGAGTTGGTGTTTGTGTCGTGTGGGCTCCTGCTAAAGGGGCTACAACAGGAGTCATAATTGGGGAGTTATTCTTGACCGCTGCTCTGAAAAGATGGTGCACAGGACTTCCTTGAATGGCTCGACAAGGAGCGCCATCAAGCTCAGGCAGGGGTTGCCGGTCATAACATTGACACATGCGAAAGTAGTGGAAAGCTAAGGCTAAGTTGCAGGATTCCGCCCGACGAGAGCTTTCTTATCCATGAAGATGATAGTGACTCTGTGGATGAAATCCTAAGTTCTTGATGCTCCTCATGGAGATAATAGCTATCCAGATGCTTCATGGTTTGACTATAGACTGACCGCGCAGAGTTGCTCTAGCCAAACACACAGAGAGCTGATCTCTGCCGTTTTGCAGGTGCCGCCTGACAGGCAGGATGCTTCTAGCACCAGTCAAGCATCACTTGCACAGCGGACATCTAGGTTGTGTGTGCTGTGTTTTTTTCTCAAGAAGGCGCAAAATCCGAAATCCAATTTCAGCAACATCGACATTGCAAGAAAACGAAAAGGAAGCCATTTGCAGAGGCCTGTCGGTTGTGATCAAGCCATGATTGGTTTCACAGCTATAGCCACAATCGATGCTTTTGGCCAGTCAACAGGTGGATGCGCAGTTTTGCCTCCAGGCCCACAGATCCAAGACGCAGTTCTCGGACTTTGAAGGCAGCGCAAATTGAGTCATGCGGCTTTGTGCGCTGCTTGTATCTGCATGCGCAGCGTTTTTTTCCTCCAAATGCATTCCTGTGGCTTCCAGGAGGGTGAGATGGTGAAGCTATGCGGTCTCGAGAAGAGGCTCGGGTGCCGCCATGCACGCATCCTGTTTCGAAGTTGTGTCGAGGCCTGATCTGAATGGCTCCAACGCCGAAGTCGTCCGAGTCAATGATCCTTCGCAGCGCGCTCCTTGGGAACTCTGTGAAGCCGAACGAATGGCGGACCAAATCAACTCAGGCTGAATGCTTCAGATGTTTGAATTTGCGATTTTATCCCATGAAAGCTGCCTGGTCGAAATATGTTGAAATGAAGACGGGGCATTTTTTTGAATTCGAGAGCTCCTTTTGCAGTGCTTTGAGGTTTTTCCCTCTGAGCATGTTGTGAGGCCTGGGAGGATCGTGGTGAAGCTGGACTCCGGAAGCAGCACTCCCAACCTTTGGGCCGAGAGACTGCTGCACTTAGGGCTGTCACACCATTGATTGACACTACGGAATAAGGGCGTTTGTGTCTGTGTGTGTTTCTACCTGGTTGGAAAAAGCAGGGAGCACTCAAGCAGCATACATGGATGCCTTAGGCCTGTGGAAACAGATGGCTACATATGACACGCCCGGGTAATTTCAACATGTGACTGAACAGACATCATCAGAACACGATTTTGTTTGAAATGCGCCTTGTGCTCGACAGAGTGCAAGGCGAGCACAGCAAAGTGTAAGGTGAGCAACAAGAGCGTGGGTGAACCAGAGATGGCTGCGAACTAGGTACACCATCCCCCAACACAAAAAAAGACGACATCAACCACAAAAAACACCCAAACATGGAGTTCGTCCCACGGGCGGCTGTGGGCGGTCGTCCAACTACAAGAGGCTTATTCGCACCTGGCACTGAGTTTTGACTGCAGGTCAGCTGGCTATCCGCCCGCAGAACATGCAGCGTGCCGTGAGCTTCTCAGATTGCCAATGGCTTGGCAGGAACTGGCTTGGTGACTGTTGTGTTAGAGCAACCATGTGGCTTGCAATTCCTGAGAACATAGCTTGCTTTGCTGCTGCTGTTGCTGCTTCCAATACTGATTCTACTGGCTTCATCTGGACTCTGCTGCTGTTGCGATGAGTCTGGTAAACAAGTATGTTGCTGTTGTATGTCGAGACAACATGTCACAATGTGAGTCGTAAGTTGCTCGGTTCCAATCACACCTGCGAGCGCAACATGATCGATGAGTCGAGGTTAACAGCGTGTGCTTCTTTCATGATTTCTTTCATCCTTGGCAGTCCCGGAGTCGCAGCACGCGGCCAGAGCCGAGGCCACATCTCCAGAAGAGCCAGCGGAGCCTGAGCAGGTGCGGAACCTTTGGTTCTGGCGCGCTCAAGTTCTTGAGCTCTTGCGGCACGAGGCCAAGATGGCTGAGGCCCCGAGGACTCCAAAGAAGTCAACGGCTTCAGGCCGTGCGGCCTGCAGTCGGCTTTTTGTCTTTCTCCTTGCCACGCCGCCGACGGGATCCCTGTTCGGCAGGTGATCCTAGCAGCAGCAGCATTTTCGGGGCTGCCTTTGCCAAGCTCAAGGCGAAAGCGGAGGCGCTGCTTTGGCGAAAGAATCGGGCAGTGGGCAGTTGGCAAGCTCGGGAATTGGATGGGTGTGTTGCATGTTGACCCCATAATCAACTCCAGGTTACTATGGGGGTGGTCCGATTCCCCACACCCAGCGACCACCCCCCTATTTTCATAAACTGGGTTGATTCGTGTGGGGTCAGCATTCTCCCTGCCGACATTCTATGTTGGTGCGCATATTCATCCTCACTGTTCATTGGTTTTGGCCTCAGGCGGAAGCACGAGGGGAGCTTCAGCCGAGCGCTAAGTTACGTGAAGATGTGAGCAGCTGGTGACGCGAGGTTGACAATGGGAACGTTTGCCATGCCGGGTTTGGCGGCTGGATTTGAATCACAGGACCGTTTGCTCATGACACGCAATGCATGAGCATGGCCTGCTTCATGAGGGCTGGCAATTATTTGAGACCTTCACAGAAGGTCATGCACCCCCTTGTGGAGTGTCATGACCAATGATGGGCACAAGTCATGGCCATAGCGACGCTCCTTGCAAAATATCCGCAATGAAGCTCGCTGTGTGGCTTTGCAATTGTAGCTTGCTTACGTGCGATTTGCTGAAAGTAATTACCCAACTGCGTTGATGCAGCGCACTGGTGCTGAATCCCAAAATTCATCTCAGTGAGGCCTTGTCACTGTCACATTTCTTGCCGTCCAAGGGAGAAGAGAAAGGTCAAGGATGACCTGGATAAACGAGGAGGAGTTCTGTTCTCAGACTTTGGCATGCGCGAGATCGGTTTGCCTCGGACGCACTTCTTAGAGCTTTGAGCCGCACATCATTCCCATTGCAGAAAGTCTGAGCATGTCCCTCGCCTAGATTGGCAGTTTTCAACCTGCCGGGCAAGCCAGGCAACTGAGTCGAGGTGTGGATTGCTGATTCCGAGCCGGGGTTTCTGCAGGCGCGAGCAGATCTTTGGGAGCGCTGCACCTGCACAGAGTGAGGCCGAAGGGTGCGCTTTTCTTAAAGCATAGGAATGCGCCGAACTAGTTGGAAGAACCAAAGAAAAGGCAAAGCTGTGAAAGCGGTCCATGTTTTGTTTGAGAACTGCCCAAGCCAACATGGGGCGGTTGCGATGTATTCGTAGATACCAGACATGCTCAGGGCTAGGGGATAGCCATCCCTGAAACTGCCAATTTACAGGAGGTGCCGGAAGAGGAGAATCGCAAGCGCGAACCCATCGCCTTTGTGGCGGCAGAGGTGCGCATCTTGCGAGAGTCGAGTAATTAGAATCTGGGTAAACATTTTATCCTAGTACATCAAGGACATGCCCTGGTAGCCCAGCCTTTACCTGCCTCATGGTGGGAGGGCTGGATGTCCAATGTGTGGTCTCAATGCCCTAGCCCACATGACTGTGGGTGTCAAATATGTACCCAAAATGGGTTGCCCTGGTAAATGGAAACATGGACTGCAACCTGGGGCCCAGTTCCTGGTGGTGAAAAATGTTGACCCCAAAACCACCGGTACCATTTTGGGGTAGGTGAATTCACAACCCATTTTAGAACCTATTTTAGTGGTTGGATTGGTTGATGTTCACTGGGGGTACGATTTGGGTTTTGACCCACACCCACAGAAGCAACCTGCTCGACCGGGAGAAGACAAAAAAAATCGCCGCATGCAGGACAGGCACGAGCCACCCAGCCGCAAGGTGGCGCAGAGCTCAGGTTCGGAGGGTTTTTGTGTGACACCCTGGGACTGTGCCCTTTTTGCAGGGGGTCAAGAGCAGTGGGTGTATTCCCAGGGTGTCATACAAAAACCCTTAGACAGGTGGCTTTCTCTCCTCGCGCATGGGAAACGACTGAGACCGTCATAGACCCACGGCGGCAAAAGAGACCGCTGGAGGAATCGGAGAGTGACGAGGCCAGGCCGGTGGTCAGTCACGGTCCAACTGACGTTTTGCGACTGGACCTCGCTGTGCACGAAGACACGTGGCCAGGACGTGGTGCCGGGGGTGGTGAGGATGCGACCGAAGGCTGGAGCCTGAGGGCTTGAGCCGGTGCACTGAGTGTGAGCAAGTGTTTCTGGGTAGCACAGGCAAAGCCCAACTCTAGAATACTCCCCCCATATCAAAAAAAAGTGGGCATTTGGCAAGTATCGCGCACACAAAAAAGCATGTTCATACTGCATTTGGCTCAAATATTGCATCAAGCTGTGACAACAATAGGATATCCTGCGCGCAAAAGTCTGACTTGAAGACAAGGAGCAAGCAAAGATGTCGAGGATGTTTGGAGCAAACCAACAAGCCCGATCAAAGCACGAGCAGGATGCTTCGACGCAGAGGGTCACATCGTAAAACTACCAAAACGAAATGACCAATGTAACTCGACCACCTCTACTGGCACCAGTAATTCATACGGGGAAGTACAGACAGGGCATGCAATACCTGCCTCCGCAGGCAAGGCTGATTGTTTGCAGCAAACTCAAGAAAGCCAATGAACAATGAAGGTGTTTCCGACTCTGAAGTGTTGCTTCCCAACGCAAGTCCTCAAAGCAAGACTTCCGAACGCGCACATTTCAGATCTATCAGCTCGGCTGGCCAGTGTCATCGAACTAGATAAAAGAAAAGAAGAAAACAAACATGGGTGAACTCGACGGTGTTGTACTGATAGAGGATGCCACAGGGGATGAAAACAAACATGGGTGAACTCGACGATGTTATTCTCATGGAGGATGCCAAAAGGATGTCTCAACTATTACAAATGTTATTATGATAGAGGATGCCAACAAGATGCCTCAACCATGTTTCCCTCCCAGGTTGGCTGCACCATGTCTTCAAAACATGCTAAGTGCGGTACATGTACACACACCCACCATGCCCAGACACAGAGAGACAGGGACCCACGGACACACAGACACACAGACTCGCGCACACAATATGATACACGCATCTATATGCAGACGCATACAATATACACATATTTAAGGGCTGCCGCCCAGTGCCGCCGACCCCAAACCAGTGTGGGAATGGCTGAAATGAACGGGGCCGCTTCAAAATGGGACCGCGATGGGTCCCCTATTGTAGCCAGGGTGCGGTGCATTTTTGCTTTGCTTTCGCATGAAAATGCACCGCTTTTATGATGATGATGATGATGATGATGATGATGATGATGAACTGACATGATAATCATCATGACGCATCCTCAGCATCACCAGCAGTCATCATGATAATAATGTCCACGCATCTTCTGCATCTCAAATCGGCTCTAATGGGACTGATGATGATGATGATCATCATTAGCACCGTGATGATGATGATGATGATAATGATGAACTGGCATGATAATCATCATGACGCATCCTCAGCATCACCAGCAGTCATCGTGATAATGCGCTTTGATTGGCACGCTTCTATAGAACCTGCGCCCATTCTGGAGCGATCGTTTTCTTTCCTTGGTTGTAAGAATCTGGTAAGAAAATGCGCCGCTGCTAACGGGACTCATGATGATGATCATAATGATGATGATGAACTGGCATGATAATCATCATGACGCATCCTCAGCATCACCAGCAGTCATCATGATAATCATGTCCACGCATCTTCTGCATCTCAAATCGGCTCTGATGATGATGATCATGATGAGCGCCGTGATGATGATGATGATGATGATGAACTGAGATGCTGGTCATTATCGTCATCATCATCATCATCATTGTCATCATCATCGTCGTCACCATCGTCATCATCATCGTCATCATCATCGTCATCATCATGGATGATAACCATCATCCTGCATCCTCTGCATCACCTCGTTATCGTCATCATCATCGTCATCATCATCATCGTCATCATCGTCATCATCATTGTCATCATCATCGTCATCATCATGGATGATAACCATCATCGTGCATCCTCTGCATCACCAGCAGTCATATGTCTACGCATCATCATCATCATCATCATCGACATCATCGTCATCATCATCATCGTCATCATCGTCATCATCACCGTCATGGGCGATAACCATCATCGTGCATCCTCTGCATCACCAACAGTCATGATGATAATCATGACTACGCACCCTCTGCATCTCCAATCGGCTCTAACGTCAACCTTGAAATGTGTTTAAAAAAGATAAGGATGACAACATCATGTCTCTAATGGGACTGATAATGATGATCATCATTAGCACCGTGATGATGATGATGATGATGATGATGAACTGGCATGATAATCATCATGACGCATCCTCAACATCACCAGCAGTCATCGTGATAATGCGCTTTGATTGGCACGCTTCCATAGAACCTGCGCCCATTCTGGAGCGATCGTTTTCTTTCCTTGGCTTGATGCATTTTTGTAAGAATCTGGTAAGAAAATGCGCCGCTGTAAGTGCCTACAATTCTGCTGCTGCTGGGAGCATGTGCCGTGACGTTGCGTTTGCAGTAGAGGCTCATCGCCGGTCACCCCGCAAGCCAACCAGTTTTCTCGCCGCAAGTCGGGGCCGCTATGGGTCCCCTATTGTAGCCAGGGTGCGGTGCATTTTTGCTTTGCTTTCGCGTGAAAATGCACCGCTTTTATGATGATGATGATGATGATGATGATGATGATGCTGATGAACTGACATGATAACTATCATGACGCATCCTCAGCATCACCAGCAGTCATCATGATAATAATGTCCACGCATCTTCTGCATCTCAAAGTGATGATGATGATCATCATTAGCACCGTGATGATGATGATGATGATGATGATGAAGAACTTGCATGATAATCATCATGACGCATCCTCAGCATCACCAGCAGTCATCGTGATAATGCCATTAGAGCCGATTTGAGATGCAGAAGATGCGTGTACATGATTATCATGATGCCTGCTGGTGATGCTGAGGATGCGTCATGATGATTATCATGTCAGTTCAGCATCATCATCATCATCATCATAAAAGCGGTGCATTTTCACGCGAAAGCAAAGCAAAAATGCGCCACGCCCTGGCTACAATAGGGGACCCATCGCGGCCCCGACTTGCGGCGAGAACTGCAAACGCAACATCTCGACGCATGGCCGATTGGAGATGCAAAGGGTGCGCAGTCGTGATCATCACGACTGTTGGTGACGCAGAGGATGCACGATGATGGTTATCATCCATGATGATGACGATGATGACGATGATGATGATGATGAGGACATGCTCATCATCACATCATCATTGTTGCGACCTGATTGAAGATGCAGAGGGTGCGTAGATGTGATTATCGTCATGACTGCTGGTGATGCAGAGGATGCACGATGATGGTTATCAACCAGGATGACGATGATGATGACGAACGATGATGACGACGATGATGACGACGATGATGATGATGACACGCTTGTCAGTTTCTCACATCATAATCCTTGTCGTGCTTATATCTTCTTATATACGTTTCAAGGGTGACGTTAGAGCCGATTGGAAATGCAGAGGGTGCGTAGTCATGAGTATCATCATGACTGTTGGTGATGCAGAGGATGCACGATGATGGTTATCATCCATGATGATGACGATGATGATGACGATGATGATGATGATGACGATGATAATGACGATGATGATGATAGATGACGATGATGACGACGATGATGATGATGACGTTAGAGCCGATTGGAGACGCAGAGGGTGCGCAGTCATGATTATCACACGACTGTTGGTGATGCAAAGGATGCACGATGATGGTTATCAACCAGGATGACGATGATGATGACGATGCTGACGACGATGATGACGACGATGATGATGATGACACGCTTGTCAGTATCTCACGTCATTCGTGCTTTTGTCTTCTTATATACGTTTCAAGGGTGACGTTAGAGCCGATTGGAGATGCAGATGTTGGTGATGCAGAGGATGCACGATGATGGTTATCATCCATGATGATGACGATGATGATGACGATGATGATGATGATGATGACGATGATGGTGACGATAATCACCACCATGGGTGATGTTGACATGCTCATCATCACATCATCATTGTTGCGACCTGATTGAAGATGCAGAGGGTGCGCAGATGATGACACGCTTGTCAGTATATCACATCATTTTCCTTGTCGTGCTTATATCTTCTTATGTACGTTTCAAGGGTGACGTTAGAGCCGATTGGAGATGCAGAGGGTGCGCAATCGTGATTATCATCACGACTGTTGGTGATGCAGAGGATGCACGATGATTGTTATCATCCATGATGATGACGATGATGATGACGATGATGATGATGATGACGATGACGAGGATGGTGACGATAATCACCACCATGGGTGATGATGACATGCTCATCATCACATCATCATTGTTGCGACCTGATTGAAGATGCAGAGGATGCGTAGATGTGATTATCGTCATGACTGCTGGTGATGCAGAGGATGCACGATGATGGTTATCAACCAGGATGACGATGATGATGACGATGATGACGACGATGATGACGACGATGATGATGATGACATCACATGACGTTAGAGCCGATTGGAGATGCAGAGGGTGCGCAGTCATGATTATCATCATGACTGTTGGTGATGCACAGGATGCACGATGATGGTTATCGTCCATGATTGCAGACGTCAGCGTTGTGACCTGATTGGAGATGCAGAGGATGCGTAGACATGATTATCATCATGACTGCTGGTGATGCAGAGGATGCACGATGATGGTTATCATCCATGATGACAACAGTGATGATGACGATGATGACGATGATGATGATGACGATGATGATGACGATAATCACCACCATGGTGATGATAACATGCTCATCATCACATCATCATTGTTGCGACCTGATTGAAGATGCAGAGGATGCGTAGATGTGATTACCGTCATGACTGCTGGTGATGCAGAGGATGCACGATGATGGTTATCAACCAGGATGACGATGATGATGACGCTGAGGACGACGATGATGACGACGCTGATGATGATGACACGCTTGTCAGTATATCACATCATAATCCTTGTCGTGCTTATATCTTCTTATATATCATCCATGATGATGACGATGATGATGACGATGATGATGATGATGACGATGACGATGATGATGACGATAATCACCACCATGGTGATGATGACATGCTCATCATCACATCATCATTGTTGCGACCTGATTGAAGATGCAGAGGATGCGTAGATGTGATTATCGTCATGACTGCTGGTGATGCAGAGGATGCACGATGATGGTTATCAACCAGGATGACGATGATGATGACGATGATGACGACGATGATGACGACGATGATGACGACGATGATGATGACACGCTCATCATAATCCTTGTCGTGCTTATATGTTTTGTCTACGTTTCAAGGGTGACGTTAGAGCCGATTGGAGATGCAGAGGGTGCGCAGTCATGATTATCATCACGACTGTTGGTGATGCAGAG